AGGGTGCCTGACAAAGACATTTGCAGTAGGGTTGTGGGAGGCATATTCTTGAATGGGATCATCTGAATTTGAGTTTTCTTCTGGACTAAGCTATCCTTTTGGGCATGAATAAATGCCTGGCTCTTTATATATGAGGAGACAGTGCCTCTCTTTTATATGAGACATTTAATATGCAATGCGAACTCTGTTTCTACCTGAGGCTCTGGAGACTGAAACCCATTTATCAAGTGCCTAAACCACTAGCATTTCCATCTCTCCTCTAAAAGTTGTGTATAGAGTAATACAAGATTTGGAGATGACAAGGACTGTGGTGGCAACTCCTTTAGGCTGAGGAGAGTCTACAGGTGCTTTTTTTTTTTTGCTTCCTAGAAGGGAAGTCTGGCCACAGGTGAGATGAGCTGGGAAAGCTGAATGAGAGTGTCTGTGCCTTGTGAACTGACTAGCTGAAGTCAGGATTAATTCATTCATTTCCTACATATTTACTCTCCAATTCAGAACTGTGTGTTATGTTCTTTTTTCTGCCTTCATAATGGAGCATGATTATAGTTTTGGTAGAATGGTTCAGTTTTGTTATTAACCACTCAAAGCCAAAACATTATTTAGTTTCAAAAGCAAAAATATCTACATTCTAGGTCATCCCAAACTGAGAGAAAATGTAATGATATCTTTCAGGATCTCTGTGGATACAGAGGCTCACTTATGAATTTATTCCACATAACCACTGTCTAAGAGCAATTAGTCTGACTGGATGCAGTGCGGTGTCCAGTTTTATATAGTTTGTCAGTTCTGTGCCTATGGTGTTTAACCTTTTACCCTTACATTCACAAGCCTTCCATTTGACTCATGTATTAAATGAAAATCAAACCAGGCTGTATTCCTTCTAGGGAAATTTATTCGTTTTCATTTTTCTTTATGTATGACAAGTTGAAGTAAAATAGTGTTTGTTCATACAGCTGTAAATTCTACTTTTTTTTTTTTTTCCCAGCAAGTTTTGCTTTCGCTTGAAAACATTATTCTGAAGAGACTGGTTGGCAGCTCCTTTGATGGAAGTGCTCTGTTCACAGAACTGGTAGAGCAGAAGTAATCAAGATAACACGTAAGGATTTCACCCTTGCTAACATGTACTGTCCCACCTGCATTCTCACCTGTAAGGACTTCTTCCACTTGCAACACTGATGAGGCAGAGTCAGGACAAACACCTTCAGTGCCTTTGAACTCTGACTCCCAAAGGACAAGGGCAAAACAATGAGCACTGTCATATCAGCAAAGGTATCCCGTGACTGTTGCCCTTGCTGCCACGGCTGAACAGCTGACGAACATATTCACAGGGGACAAAAATTCAGATCTCAGCTTAGCATAAGAGGCAAGACGCAACTTTTGAGTCTGTGAAGCAGAAAAGATCTCAACACTAACTACCGATTGCCTGTGCTGTCTCATATTTGAATCTCTACTTCCATGCTGCAACAGTTTATTGCTTGCCAATTAGTGGCAATGAGATAATTCCATTAAATACTTGAAAGTCTTTTGAAATTTGTAGTTGCACTGTTTTGATTACTTTTCCGAAAGTTATTATGGTCCCTATCCTACAAATTGTTCCTTTCTGAATAGCTGTATTTCTTGATTCATTGAAACAACTGCAGTGAGAAAGCTTTGGCTGGAGTTCTACACTCTTTGTTGTCAGTGGAAAAAAAATCACGCTAGTAGTAATAAAGAAACCTAACAAATATTTGATTACAATCAGTTGATGGCAGCTTAATTCAGCATCCTGTAATTGTTATGCCCAAAGATTTTGCTGAAAAATTCCACTGTCTGTCATGTGATGGTAGTTTAGGCACAACAGTTCAGCTGCAGAGGTCCATACCTAGTAATGTTTGGAGAATGACAGAAAAATTAGAATTTTTTCATGTATCTTTTCTACTTCATGTGTAAAATATGTTTTTCCTCCTTTCAGAATTAACCTGAAATACTCTTCTTTGCTTCAAGATATTTTTCATGCAGGTGTAAGCATGAAATCTAATGAAATTGCATAAATTGGACCTAGAATAGATCAGTGGATGTAATGAAATGGCTGTTCTACTACTACAGCTGAAAATATTATTTCCCTTGCAGAGAATTACTTGAAGAAATTGGTGTCCAGATTTTGATGCATAACTGGTAAATACTAATTTGGAAGGCTTTCTGATAAAAAAATAAGCAGAGTACCACTGATATTAAACTTAATAGTACAAATGACAACAAAATCATGACAGGAAAAAAAACAACCCTTCACTCCTTCCAAAAGTTTGCTTTAGTTTTTAAATGCTTTTCAGTTTTCAAAATCTCACTTTATTAGACCAGTATCAATTAGACTTATTTACATTTTTTATTTCCTTTGTGAATATTGCATTATAGAGGAAGGAAAGAATTACCTGAAATCCTAGTCTGAGAAGTAAGGAAATCCCATCTTTCGTCTTCCCCCTGTACATTTTCATTCTATGTTTGTGACTGTGCCTAGAAAACTGGGTCAGATTTTCACTTGAATCTGAAGAGTTTATGTATCTTTGCCAGAATATTTTTGTTTTCTTCATAGAATGAAAGTCACCACCTGTGGTGTACAAGTACATAATATAATCATGGATGAACTGCATGCAACTTATGGGAGAGCTTTGTTAACACTGGCAAAATGCAGTTTGTGGCAAAGGAATAGAAGCATTCCTCTGTAGAAGTGTGCTTAGAAATAAAGAATTGATTAAGTTCAAGGTAATACTCAGGACCTACTTTGCAGCATTAAGTAACTACCTTTGTTTTCCTCCAGAAATGTGTTGCTGTGCTTCATAACCATAGCCCAGACTTCATGGTTAGTTTTTACATTAATGTGAATTATATATCAGGACCCCTCAGTAACACGTAAAAGGAGAAGGCCAAATGAAGAATGCCCTTTTCTCCCTCCCCTCCTGTGATCATTTTAAGCACGCTATGTTAAAATCCAAGCTTACAAGCTTCTAGCTATTTCAGTATGAATATATCAATGCTTATAAGTAATAAGTCATACTGAGACTGTTGGACAACACAGGTTAATTTATAGCATTGGGCAGTTTCCTCTGAAACAGCACAGTTGATTTTACCCTTTTTTTTCCCTTAACATTTCTATACTGAAAAGATAGATCTCAGGTTATTTGTTTGTTTGTTTGTTTTTAATTATGCTTAAATTGTGCCCTAACTCAGTGTTAACTCTGCTAACCAGCATTTGGCAGAACTCGTGATTTGAATGTGCTTCATAATATTCGGCTTCTTCCTTAAAGTTCCAGCTCCCAGAGTCATGTGATAACAACACAACCCTCAAGGAAAAAAAAAATAAAAAATCAAACCTCATGGCTGTGGAGGGAGGAAAGCTTAAAAACGTGACCCGAATTCACCCTAAAGACTCTAATACCAAAGGAAAGAAAAAGAGCACAGTGTAGTAAACTGGTAATTGTAAAGATTTCTGTACTCAGGGGAAGGAAGAGTGACTAATTAACGGTCCTTTCTATTCAGCGCCAGGTATCAATATGTTCCATTCACAAATGAGGTGTCATATAATCTGGGCACAAAACCACACAAGCTTCAGCGTGGGTACTGCTACTTCTTGGCATGTCGAGCCTCTGTCTGTGTAACCAGCCCTTGATGCTTTTCAGAGCTTTGCACTATAAAAGCAAGAACAGGAACCAAAATGCAAATGCTTTATTCATAGCAGTAACACAACTCTCTCACAGAGCTCGAGAAGAATGGAGAAAAGATTTCTCAAAGCTTTGCCTACACTTTCCATCTTTATTCAGGTGCATGGAAAAAAAAGCTCTAGCAGCACAATCATCCAGGAACAGAGTGAAAACTACGTGGAAAACACATCTATGCTGTTTTGGAAACAGGTCACATGCGGGGAAAAAATAAAGAAAACAAAAAAAAGACATCATGATGTCAGCGCACCCACAGCCTGCTTCCTGGGGGGAATGAGCCCTGCCAGAGAGGCCACCGCTTGCTGGTGGGACCTGGGTCGGGCTGTGCATACAGCGCAGCAATCGCTGCTGAAAGGAAGCTCGGCACACTGCTTCCATCACCATTAAACCTCCTGTCCTGCACAGGCAAGAGGAGCAGGGAGCAGCTGGCTCTCCCGTCCGCTTTACTTATGTCAGAGTCATGGAGAGTCACAGGAGAAAATCACTGCCTCACAGCTCTACGAGGTTAAAGACCTAAACACGCCGCTCCACCTCGCAGATGTTTAAGGCTCGCTGAAAGCGTGCAGGTCGCAGACAGCAGGCCGAGGCGAGGGGGCGGACTGAGGGCAGGAAGCAGGCCGAGACGCCGACTCCGGGGCCATGCCAGCAGACTGCTGCAAAGCAGCGGGCAGACCCGCCCGGCAGGGCCGTGCCGCGACACGCCGGGCCCCTGAGGGAACGCCGCTCCGGCCGTCGCTGCAATGACGGGGCCACTCGGGGCGCTGGCAGCGACTCCGGTCCTCCCCGTTGTTCCGCGAGCACGCCTCCCGTCCCAGGGCGCTGCCGCCAAGACGGAGCAGCCCTCCTTTCGGGCGGGTAGCCGTGGGCGGCGGGAGCGTCGCTTGTAGGGGTAGGGAAGGGCGCGCGGGGAAACAGGACTCGAACTCCGGGACCCGGGTGAGAAGGGCTAGAAGCCGAGCCCGACCCGACCCGCTGCAGCGAGGCCAAAGCCGGGGGCGGAGAGGAAGGCGGGCCGCGCGCCGACCTGTCGCGGTGCATTGTGGGCCCCGCATTGATTTATGCACGAGCCGCAGAGGGCGCCGGGAGACGCGGGTGGCGGCGGCGCGGAGGCGGCGGCGGCGGCGCTCGGGGCTGGCGCGGCGCGGAGCTGCGGGCCGGCCGGCAGTGATCCGGGCTCTGAGAGCGCAGGACCTTCACCGCTCCTCCGGACCGCGCCGCGGGTCGTGGAGGCACCCTGCCCGGCCTCGGCCGGCCGCTTATCGGCCGCCACGGACGTGGAGGCGGCGGTGGCGGGCGGAGCCGGGCCCGGCTCGGAGGGACCGCTCGGTAGGGCCCGGAGAGGGGGGCTCGTTCGGATCTCACGGCACCGGAGCCTCCGCGGGCAGGCTCGGGGTTGAGGACCTTTAGCGGGGAGAGAGGCGCGGCCCGGCGCGGGGCAGAAGGCTCCGTCTGTTCGCCCGGCATCTTTGTTTGGCCGGCTGCTGCTGGGGAGAGGAGCGGCGAGGCCCGCACAGTCGCATTCCCCCGTTCCTTCTTGGGGCCCGAGCCGGCCGGGAGCTGCCTCAGAGTTCGGCTTCGCGTCGGGTGGAAGGCTGAGGGCTGAAGAAGGCTTTGCAGTGACGGGTCTCCCTTCCCCGCGTCTTCCGACCCGATATCGGCTCCTCGCTGCTGGGATTATAAATGTTTGGACGGAGACCCAGGAAACTGAAAGGTGAGCCTCCTGTTGGAATTCGCAGAAGAGAAAAGGAAGGAGGCTTTTCCAAATCCCTCGCGATAAAACTCGAGCCGTTTTCCCATGCTGACCGTATTCTGTTTAATAATGCGATTGTGACCTGAGTGGGATTTCCGAGCCATGAACTGTTGAAGCTTTTGCACCAGAGCGTTGGACTACGTTGTTTTTCTCTCTGCACATGATTCCTCCATCCCAGCTGTTGCAGGACCTATGGGCCAACAATAGACTGGAGGTTAATTCTCACATTCTTCTGTGCTGGGGACTTGGCTAGTTAGTTGGAGTTGCTGCTGCTTTTTATTGGAGCTGCTCTTTATTGGGCAGTTTTATTTGTTTTCACATACACGGGGTGTTTCAGCTAAGCAGATGTTGGACTGAAGCTGAATGGATGCTTTGCAATCCACAAGATTTTGGAGGATAAGAAAAAACTACTAAAAACAGAAGAACCGGTACTGCTGGAAACCTGGAGCCCGTTTTCCAAGCCTTTTTATTTTATTGAGCAAGGTAAATGATGTAGTGGTGTTGAAAGTATAGGGCTTGCGGTAATCATACACCAAGATGTTGCAGAGCACTTAAGGGTATTCAGAACCTTTCAGCAGACTCCGAGGTATAACCTCGTTAAAAGCCTCTGAATAAGTTTAGTTTTTCATTAAAATGAATGTGGAGCTTAATGCTGAGAACAACTGATAACTGAGCGAACCATTTTGTGTTACAGATCTCTGATGTTGAAAGAGGCTGTCTAAAGAACTTCAGAAGTCTTAAGTGGTTCAGTGAAAGAGTGCAATTAATCGTTTGTAAATATTTGTATGTTTTTCCAAGTTTTTAAAACACTTGCTATCATAGCCATTCGTGATCTGTTAGGTCTCCTAAAAGTCCTTTCAGTTTGACTGTAGTAAAGTACTTACATTTGCCTAATTAATTGTATTCATAGTCTGCCTTGAATTATTTTCAATTACCTTTACCTTTATGTTCGTTTACCTTTTTTAAAGGTAAACCTCGTTTACCTTTATTCGCAATGACAGCTGCTACTACTCTGTAATCCATTTTTCTTTTTATCTTTTTTTATGTTATTATCTCCTGAATTTGGACTATGTGGATTTACCTCTAGTTTAAATGCATCACATTAGCAGTGGGTTTCTGCAAGACAGCAGCATAAGTTCAGAGTACTATTTTAGATATTATCTTTATATGTTTGAAGACTTGGAAGAAGCATATAATGATTCTCAAAATATGCAGTGTAATCAGTAACTGGTTTACGTATATAATTTTTGGTGGCTTGTTGCATGCCTTATCTTTGTTTTTTAAAGATCTCAGTGGCAGTTTGCTCTTAACAAAAATATAAGTCCATTAAAATGAGATCATAGCTTAAAAAGCAGCTGTAAAAATCTGGTTTTGCAAGATGTCACAGGATTCTCATTATGGAGTGATGACTTGATTAAATTGATTGTGTACCTTTTCACCCACAATCTTAATGAAATAGTGGCAAACACTAAGGTGTTGGCAACTGTTACTGATGCTATCATTGAGAGACCTAAGCTGATATTATGGATAGTATCCAAAGTCCCTTTGCTTATCCTGTTTAGATTTGTTTGACTTAAATGTACTGTCTTTGTTTTGTCTTGTTTTGCTTCAAGATGATGTGTGAGGTGATGCCAACCATCAGTGAGGCAGAGATTCCCTCTGGGGGAAATGGAGGCCATGGTTCAGGTTCCCCATTACAGTCAGATGCTGATTCCCATTTTGAACAGTTAATGGTATCCATGTTGGAAGAAAGGGATCGCCTTCTGGAAACACTAAGAGAAACTCAGGAGACGCTAGCATTGACCCAGGGCAAGCTGCATGAAGTTGGTCATGAAAGAGATTCCTTGCAGAGACAGCTCAATACTGCACTTCCACAGGTATGGACGTTTTGAAAGGAAGCTGTTTTCTGATAACTTATCTTTGTTGTTTTTATTGTTGTCTTGTATATTCAATTTACTGAACAGCTTACTGTAGGGAAAGATCAATCCAACCTAATACTTTCCTGAAGTATTTGTTGGTGCTTGTTCACTTTGAGAAAGACAGAAAAGCAAGGCGGGTAGAGAACATCAGCCCCTTCCCTCTAGCATGCTTTCCCTGTTTCTGGCATTTCTTTGGCTCAGGAGTATGAGGTTGTTTCTGCATTGCTTTGTTTAATAGAACCTGGTGGACTTTTTTCTGTCACCATTGTATTAATGTTTCTTACTGCCTAATTCATCTGTGTGCCTAAGAAATATGTATAGACCATTTGGGGGAATGAAACAGGCTGTTCTGATACTGTTACAGACTTGAATTAAAATTGACTTCTGGAGGATGCAATCTGCCCACATATAGGCTGTAGTACTTAACATATTGTATAGAGCAGTAGTGTGCAGTTAAGAGAGTTCATAGATGTCTACAGATCTTCTCTGTTCTTAGTTACTCCATTCCAGTCTTAATAAATAAAATCAAAACCAACTGAACTTTGAACATGCTGGAAAGCATTTGATTGTAGGCAAAGCAGAGACCACTTTCAGTTGTCAGTTAACTATTGACAGCCTTGTACTTTCTAGCCTGCTTGGTTGTTGTCCTGAGTTTGTCAGTTTGTCATGGTGATGTTGGGCTTGCATGTCTTATTACAAGAAAACATGTAAATTATTACAAGTATTTCTATGTTCCTAAATACTGCGGTTACTGTTCATACTGTTTAAAGCAGTGGTTTCAAACTCTCCTATTTCCACTGTATGACTGTTGATACGTTAAATAATACTGGAAATTACTCGGGAACAGAAACTAAGAAGTAATAAATGTGAATGTAGTTGGATTACAGTGTTATGATGGAAATCAGAAAGGAGAATTTTCCAACCTTTGCTGCTCCCTGTGTTAAATCATGTGCTGCAGGCAAAAATCATTCTTTGTTTTTCTGTTGCTTTTTATTGTAATAATTGTGGCTTCTCTTTAGCTGCTCTTCCAGGTGCATTAACAGGTGCCATTAACCAATTGTATGATCTGTAAACTGTTACACTTGAATTTGTGGCTGAGCAGAATCACCAAAGCTCTCTAAGCTGCATTATGTCTTACCTTTTTCATTCCCATTTTCCTTCTTAAATCTTGTGAGCTACCAGTGTGTAAAGATTTTTTTTCTAAACCTCTATGAAAGATTCAGGCAGCTCAACAGTTCCCAGTTTCATGTGTGTCACACTTGTGTGTTTTCACATGAGATCAGTGGGGAAGCAAGTCTTGTGGTTCAATTGCAGCATTATATAAATACAATGCAAGAATGGATTTTTGTAGATTTTCTTTTGGAAAATAACGTTGTCGTGTTGTGAAACTGTACTGCTCCTGTCTTGAGTCATGCTTAAGCTCAGATGGTAGTGGAAAGTGAGAATTGGTGCTGCTTTCAAAAGTTGCATTCACAAAATAACTCATTCTTGCTGCGAATCAGAAGAGTCTTCTGTGTTTGACAAACCCTTGTTGTTAGTATGGCAATTAATTGGTTACTTCGGATTAGTAAATTTCTGACAAAATTCTAATTTAAATTCTGTTAAGTGTTCAGTAGAAAAACTTTCTGCTGGCTACGGTATTTGGAACTAGTCAAACTTTTTTGTTAATTATTTCAAGCTGAACATTCTTTTGAACTGCTGTCTCAAACAACCCATTGTTCAACTGTGGATTTCAAGTAGGGGTAGAAGCAGGATAACTTTACTGACAGATGCATTACATTTTTTTTTCAGGGAAAAAAAAAAGGGCTACTTGGCGGTGCTATTTTTTTCTTTTAAGTATTTTTAATCAGAGTAGATGTTTTCAGTTAAGTAGAAAGATGTGAGGATCAGTTTGAGTGGTTGTGCAAACATCAGTATGATGGTGTGAATCACCGAGTCAACATCTAACAAATGTATTATTTCTCCCCTGGCCTAGTGTGTACGTGCAGCTAGTCTTTGTAGTTGATTCTGGGGCACGTTATCCTCAGGAGTGTTGAATTGACTTGTTTGTAGGCGTACTTTGTCGTTTATGTTTTTAGCTGAATCGACCAGTTAGACCATTCTGATGAATGATGGAAACTTCTTGTGTATAAGGGGTAGGATGGCAGATTGCTTCTACACCAGAACTTTTCTGGTGTTCGTATGAAGGCACTCTATTGACGTTGCTGCTCTGAATTCCGTGCGTTCATTGAGTTTCTGTAGTATAGTAAAGGAGCCTGTATCTCTGTGTAAGTAGCTACAAAATGGCAAGTACTTGTGTACTTGCACATCTTTGTAAGTTATAAAAATAATTACAGTTCATTCTGCTGCAGTGATTTTTCCCTTCTCTAAAACGTTGGAGAAAGAGACTCTTCTAATGAGCTTGTTGTATGATGGGCAACTAGTAATGTAAGGGCATCTGTTGCAGTTCTCATAAAATCAGAGCAGCTATTTAGAGTAGGAAGACTTTTGTTGTGGTTCTCTAGTTCACAAAGAGAAGAGCATTCGTTATAGGTGTGCTTTGTTACGTTCACTTCTAAAATTGACAAGCCTTTCTTGTATGAACAGTTTAAAGCAAAATTTGTCAGCATTGCCTTGATAAAGTAACTGGTTTCTGTTTAATTTAGCAATGTTTTTTTTCCTGGGCATTATCTCTTACCTTGGTTAAAATTTACTCTGACCTTGGAATATGAATTGGATGAAATCAAATTGCCAGGCAAGAATTCAAAACCATTTTTGTTCTTCCTTGTGTTCTTCACAGAAATAATGAAAATGCACTTTTTACTCTGAGAAGTTAAATAACTTGTCTTTTCAGTGTAAACGCATTCAGTTATGATATAATTATGGTCAGATGAATAGCTGACTCTGTTATTTCCTTGCCCTTTTTGTATTTCCAGTGTGTTTTCTACATATTTTAAGATAAGCATGCTTAAAACTTATAAATTAATCTGAGAAATGCATAGGACTGTGGTGCGTTTCAAACTAATGTTTTGAACGTAAGGTTGATGAGTTCCAGGTGCCTGCCAGTTGTGGTGTTGAGAAGTGACAGACTGGGCTTCAGTTTGTTGGTAGAATTCTATGTGGATGTTTCTGTGAATGCCAGCATCGGACTTGTTTTGGATAGAGAAGACTGCCATTTAATTTATGGACTCATAGCTAGCACAGGTAAATGTACAGTGGATGAATTCACAGCAGGTCTTATCAGGATAATTATATATGTTGCAGAACTTTGAGCGCTAATGAACAAATGCTGTGCTGTTGTGATAAAGCAGTACTCTTACTGAGATCCACCTTCATCTTACAGTGGTTGCTTTTTAGTCTGAAATGTATCATAACACGAGCTGTGCAAAGCAGCTAGTAAATCAAAGGTACTTCTTGTGTTTGTCATGTGGTTCTGTTCTGCATTCAGAAATTCTCTATGTAAGGGGGCATAGATTAGGGACAGATGTGAATTTTCTGTTGGAGGCTCTGTGCGTGTGTGTGTGTGTGTGTGTATGAAAGTAAGAATGCTTACTGTAACATGGAATTAAATACGGAAAAAGCTGCCTGCAGTTTTGGTTTGGCTTCAGCTTTACTAGGATGCCTGCCTTATCTTAATTTAAAGCAAATCCCCACTAGGTCATCTTTAGTTGCGTTCTATTTAATAGTAAATGTTTTATCACTGCTACATGCTTCTATTAAAAAAAAAAAAAAGTAAATCTATTTATACTTATGCTCAGTTAAGTTCAGATCTGTCTCTATATAATGATTTTTCTTAGTCTGAGAAATAGATTGTCTTGCATGCAAAAAATATCTAAACTTTTAGTCTGAAGTCTGCCCTGGTGTTGTTTAGTAATGGTGAATTTATGGATTTAGCTGTCGTTTTATTAATGGTGGTATTTGGATTTCCTCCAGGTGAGTTTTAAATAATACAGGATGTCATAGATGGAGAACTGAGGTCTTGAATTGTGCATAGATATGAAGAACATGGCTGCGGAAAGTACATTAATTGAAGGGTTTGCCAAACTTTGCAGTAGCTGAAATTTCCTGAGCGTTTTAAGTGCAGCTTCATTTACGGTATTCACAACTACTCAGCCTTGAGGTGACGTAGCGTGTTGTTATTTCAGCAAGATGCAATTCTGGCTTCTGAGTAAAAGCCATTAGTCTCAGCAGTCTACTCAGGATTGATAGAGATCTAAAAGGTTTCACTTGTGCAGCTGTGTGTCACACAGGCATAGCCTCCATTTCTCACCCAGCACTGTGACAGCAGAGATGAATGTGAGTCTTTCAGTTGCTTTTTCAGACAAGTGTAATTTTATTCCTGTTTATGTTCAGCTGCTGAGTTTTGCTTGGCAGTTACTGTTAGTAAACGACTGGATCGTCTTCATCCATGTAGCTTAAGTCAGATGGAGGTATGGGTTAATGTTTAGAATTCTTCACTGACTATAACAATAAATCTCAGCTTCCCTAATGTTTTTTCATTACAAGGCACAGAAAGAGACAGCTTGTGTCCAAAAGGCATATGTTCAGGACCAGACCCCTAGCGTTTGTTCTGGCTTCTCAGTTTTTCATTTAAATGTATTTGTGCAAGTTCACTGAAACTATGCTCTTATGATGTTCTATCAATCCCTTTAAAATTAATAGTCGAAAGCTACTGTTTTTCTTTTCTTTGGTTGATCAGCAGAAGGATGTACTGGTGACTAAATAAAAATGCTTTTTGTTTGTTTTTTATTGGTGATTTATGGATGTAGCTCTGAAAGATGAGGCAGTGATTATTTTTCTCACTCTTCAGTCAGTGTGCACATATCTGAAAATGGGTTTATTAACTTATGATGTGCTGTCATCAAACTTGCAGGCTGACCAACAGACCACGTATAAGCTTGAGTGAGAAGAGCTGTAACCAAAGCAAGCAGTTCATAAAACATGTAGTGTATTTAGGACAAGGTAAACTTTGCATATAT